CCTGAAGATACCCGGTCGTTCCTTTTTTGTCTACGACTATATTACCATTCAGTGAATGGTTTGCCTCCGAGCTTGGGTTCTTCTTCGAGTTTTGACGACCAGTTACGACGGCGACGACAACAACAGTCTGCGACGCTGCCGCACCTGATTTGACTGACCAACTTCATTCTTATTACAACAAACTTCCCATTGATTCGCCATGGGTGTTCCCAAGTTCTTCCGCTGGCTCAGCGAGCGCTATCCCACGATCTCCATGTTGATCGCGGAGAATCGGATACCTGAATTCGATGCGCTTTATCTCGACATGAACGGTATTATTCATAATTGTACACATAAAGACAGCGATTCTCCCACGTTTCGCATGACGGAGGATAAGATGTTTATAGCGATCTTCAACTATATCGAGCATCTGTACGGCAAGATCAAGCCAAGGAAGTTGTTCTTCATGGCGGTTGACGGTGTCGCTCCTCGCGCGAAGATGAATCAACAACGTGCGAGACGGTTTAGAACAGCCCTGGACGCTGAGGTTGCAAAGGAGAAGGCCATAGCCCAGGGAATCGAGATGCCGAAAGAGGATCCATTCGACAGCAACTGCATCACTCCCGGTACGGAGTTCATGGCAAAGCTGACGCAACAACTGAAGTATTTCATCAACAAGAAAATCTCAGAGGACAAAGATTGGCAAGGGGTAGATATTGTGCTGTCGGGTCATGAAGTACCGGGAGAAGGTGAACATAAGATCATGGAGTATATCCGGCATGCGAAAGCACAGCCAGGGTATGACCCCAACATTCGTCACTGTCTCTATGGTCTTGATGCGGACTTGATCATGTTGGGCCTTCTTAGTCATGATCCTCATTTCTGTCTCCTTCGTGAGGAGGTGACATTTGGTCGCCAAGTCCAGAAGAAGCCTAAGGAACTTGAGCACCAAAACTTCTACCTCTTGCATCTTTGTATGGTTCGAGAATACCTGGAATTGGAGTTTCAGGAATTGGAACAGGAGGGAGTTCTGGATTTCCCCTTCGATATGGAACGGGTCATCGATGACTTTATCCTGATGGCTTTCTTCGTTGGAAACGATTTCTTGCCTAACCTTCCTAATCTGCACATCAACGAGGGAGCCCTCTCGCTAATGTTTAAGATCTACAAGGATGTCTTGCCAAAAATGGGTGGCTACGTCAACGAGGGAGGTGTCATCAACCTGAAGCGCCTCGGTATGCTTATTGAAGCTCTGAGTGATGTTGAGTTTCGCTTCTTTGAAGCCGAATACTCTGACGCGAGGTGGATTAACGCCAAACGGAATGGCGTCGAGAACGGTTCTGAGTTCCAAGAGAAGCCAAAGGGCTTGACTCTCACGCCAGCCCAGAAGGAGCTTTTCAAAGAAATCAAAAAGTACGTTTTGAACAGGCCTGAGAAGGCATCAGGTTCAAAACCTCTAGATCTTTCTCCCACACTACCGGCTCGTGATCGCAAGTTTGTGGAGCAACTTGCAGACGACCTGCGATTACCGTGGACCACAGTTGCGGACGAACACGGAGACCGATTCATCAGACTTCAGCTGCCTGCCAACGAGGATGACGACAGCGAAGAGGAGGAAGATGAAGAGGCGTCTATGGCCGTACAGCGTGTCATTCGGAGATATGACAATGCGAAGGTCCAGGAGATTTCCCCCGAGGAAGCTCAGAAAGCAGCAGAGAAGAAGTACGAGGAAAAATTCCAGGACTGGAAAGACAAGTATTACATGAGCAAATTTGGATGGGGTCTCGACAATCACGAGGAAATGCGGAAACTGACGGAAAATTATGTGCAAGGTCTTCAATGGGTTCTGTATTATTATTACAGAGGCATTGCATCTTGGCCATGGTTCTTCAAGTATCATTATGCGCCCATGATTTCTGGTACGTGCTGGCTACTCATCTGACATAATAACTTTTCTCCTCCCAGTCGTTATCACGACTTTCCTGAGCATCTCATTCGTTTGCTGACCATGACTAGACGTGATCAAGGGTCTGAACGCGGACATGAATTTCAAACTGGGCCAACCGTTCAAGCCTTATGAGCAGCTCATGGGTGTCTTACCTGACCGAAGCAAGCAAATTGTGCCTGCCGCGTTCCGGGACTTAATGACGTCCCCAGAATCTCCCATCATCGACTTCTATCCGCGTGATTTCGAATTGGATATGAACGGCAAGAAGATGGAATGGGAGGCTGTTGTCAAGATTCCATTCATTGATGAACGTCGCCTCTTGGAAGCTCTTGCCACCAGGGAGCACCTCTTGACTCCGGAAGAAAAAGCGCGAAATGGGTTTGGAGTTAGTCTCAAGTTTACTTACTCACCGGAAGTGAACTTCACCTACCCTTCATCTCTCCCTGGTGTCTTCCCTGATCTCCCCAGCTGCCATTGCATTGAGAACATTTTTGACCTGCCTACCATGGATGGCTTGGAACCTTATATTGGTTTGGTCGAGGGTGTCCAGCTTGGAGCGGCTGCATTGGCTGGTTTCCCAAGTTTGAAGACTCTACCCCACGTAGGCCAGCTTGGTTTCCACGGCGTGTGCGTTTTCCAACAGGAGAGTCGCAACGAGAGTATGGTTATCACGGTACTTGACCCGGGCAGCAGATCGAATATTGAGCTGGCTAAGCAGAAGCTTGGGAAGCGTGTCTTTGTCGGCTACCCCTTTCTGCAGGAAGCTCTTGTCATCCGTGTATCTGATGAGCTGTTCGATTATCTCCTTCCGGAAGGAGAGAATCATGTGGTTTCGATTCCTCACACTGAGGCCCAAATCGATCAGTGGAAGAAAAAGGCAGATAAGATCGAAGGGATGTACAGCCGCAGACTTGGCACTATTATTGGCCCCGTTGAGTCAATGGTGCACGTTCAACTTCTCAAGGGTCTGATCAAAACAGATGAGGGTGCTACAATTAAGGAATTCGCCGATATTCCGGGGCAGGAAACCGACTATGCGCTACAGCTCGTCGTGGACGAAGTTATCAACCCTGATGAGCGCTTCATCGAACGTGATGCCCTGCCCATCGAGAAGGAATTCCCGGAAGGCTCGCGTGCCTTTTTCTTGGGCGATTTCAATTATGGTAGACCGGTGCACATTACAGGACACGAAAACGGCAAGGTTAATGGGTTGATTGCTGCAATCAAGGGCCGCGAGCCAGAGTTTGGGAAAGATCGCGCTAGAGAAGCGGAGAGGCTATGTCCCTATATGCCCTCATTTGCCATTGCTCGCAGCCTACGTTTGAATCCATTGGTATTGGCAAAGATCACCTCCTCATTCTCTGTTGACATGGAGGGGCAGCGCGTCAATCTGGGTCTGAATCTCAAGTTCGAAGCCAGAAAACAGAAAGTCCTTGGCTACTCCCGTCGCGGGGAGTCTGGCTGGGAATTCAGTCCGAAGGCAGTCGACCTTCTCCAACAGTACATGATTAAATTTCCAGAGTTCATTGCTGGTATTCAGCGTAACCCTCAGAAGGACCGTTACCAGCCGACAGATTTCTACCCAGAGGACGTTGCACTTGTGAAGATGAAGGAAATCAGAGACTGGCTCAAAGCGATGGAAGCCAAAAATTTTGAGAGGGTTCCTCTTGAGGCTGAGCAGTTGGATTCTGATGTTGTGAAGTTGATTGAACAGGACGCGGATCAACTTGTGCAGAGTCAACCTCCTATGCAGCCTAAGAAGATCAGAGGTGTCCCCCGAAGCGCGCTTCTGCGGCCTTCGGATGTCGAGCAGCGTTTGCAGAATCAAACTTTCAAGCTTGGAGATCGTGTGGTCTACGCGCAAGATTCTGGTAAGGTGCCCATTGCCACTCGAGGAACAGTTGTCGGCCTCACTCGGACGCCCCGAGCCATGTTGCTTGACGTTGTCTTCGATGTTTCCTTCATGAGCGGAACCACTCTGGGAGACCGCTGCTCGCCATTCCGCGGCCAAACTGTCTTGGCATCGTCCGTTCTCAATGTTTCCTATCGTCAATTACTCGCCAGCACACGGGCTGCCGCCAGTCAACAGGCACAGAGCCAACCTTCGCCTTTAACGGTGGCAGGATACGGTGCTCCGCTTGGTCCTAATGGGCTGGGCCAGCTGAAGGAGGCTGCGGCTCCTCCTCCATTGACAAACTCATACCGTGGCGCTGTCTCGGGCTTGGGTAATACACGAGGAAATGGTGCTCCTCATAGAGGACGTGGAGGTCGCGGTGCCGCGAACGGAGGATCGCCGCATACTACTTTACCGTTCCGCCCCCACCCCAGCAACGGTGACGGCACTGAACAACGCGGCGGCAGGGGTCGTGGAGGCATGTACCGTACTCGTGCGGGGTATGTATCCGTGGATAACAGCAACCCCGAGGCAGGTGTGGTCAGAAACAACCCTCACTTCCGGCCTCAGAATTACTCCCAGGTGCCGCCTCCCAAGGCATTGAATCGTGGCGGTGGACGTGGGGGCCGCGGCGGTTTCCGCGGGTCGGATAGAGGAAGCGGGTCCAGAGGAAGGGGTGGTCACCGAGGAAGAGGTGCAGCTATTATAAGCACTGAGTAAACGGTGTGTTATGGTGCTACCAGTTGGACTTCTAACAGGGTATCATATCTCGGTTATGGCATGGTTGGGTGTTGACGGTAACTTGTCTGTCAATTGACTGGCTTTGTGGCATAAGACATAGATGGCCATAGATAAATCTACTATGGAGAGCGGTCCTGTGTATCATCAGTCAAATGTCCAGCGAACCAACATTATCCTCTTCCGTAGTTAAGTCTGAGAGGCTATCATCTGTTAAGCATTCTCCCCCACGGTAATCCGCGCTCTGGATGTGGAGAAATATCCGCACCCTTAGTTGGAACGATCAACCAACCGGATATTGGAGTATCTTTGGGGTAGCTCTTAGATGCGGGGAGATATGCAAGACGGCGCATCGTCTATTATTGCAGTCTTCTTCTTCATTCAGCTGAACTGACTCTTTTCTATAATCATCTGCGTTGTATTCCTGAAAAGTATACAGACATGGCATCTGTAACCACTCTACCCACCTTCGACAACCTCACCTTCGACCCTTCAGGGCCACCAGGGAACGCATGGGGTCTATTTGGGAAGAACAACGAGCTGGGGATGCTGAACCTTCTCACTCCCGAGACGGTGCGCAGGGCAGCAGCAGAGGAGATTCGAGACGGCGTACGATTCTCGCTTGATCTGCCACTCGACCGAATCAAGAACCCCAGTTTCGGGCGCAAGCCGTTTGCGCGGGAGTTGGTGAACAAGGCGCCACGGATTGTCAATGATGATATCCTTGTCTTCAATACGCAGTGTAGTACGCAGTGGGATGGATTTAGGCATTATGGTTAGATTGTGCCCTGACCACCGACACGCCGATGCCAGGTAGAGGAGTAGGCTGACAGACGGACTGCGCGGTAGGGAACCATACACACAAGTGCTACTTTAACGGGCATTCACTGGAGGACTTGAAAATCTCCCCTGTGATCGGCATTGACGGTAAGTCTGCCATATATAATCCGACACACTTCCAACTAACAGCTCTAGCATGGGTCAAGCACGGCGGCATCGTCGGCAGAGGCGTGCTAATCGACTACGCCTCATGGGCAACGAAGAACTCGATCCCCCTCAGCCCCTTCACCACAACCAAGATCCCCCTCTCTGCAATTAAGCAGATCGTCGAAGAGAACGACATCCGATTCCGGCCCGGCGATATCCTCTTCCTCCGCACAGGCTTCACAGCCGCCTACGACAAGCTCTCCGCGGACGAAGAACTGGCCATCTCTCAGCGTGAAACGCCTCAATTTGCAGGTCTTGAGGCCGGAGAGGCCACTCTCCGTTGGCTGTGGGAGAATCAGTTTGCTGCCGTAGCGAGCGACTCGCCTAGTTTCGAGCCTTCACCCATCGCGGGCCCTCAAGGTCCGCCGGAGTTTCAGCTGCACCAGTGGTTGCTGGCTGGCTGGGGGATGCCTATTGGAAAGTATTTTGATCTCGAGGAAGTGGCGGAGTATTGTGCGAAGATGAATCGGTGGAGTTTCTTCCTGTCGAGTGTGCCATTGAAGGTGAGTCAGGTTGTTATGTTGTGCTTTTGAATGGTGGGTGAGGGGTTGCACTGACAAGATCGCTGTATATCAACAGGTTCCTGGGGGCGTAGCCAGTCCTCCTAATGCGGTGGCTATCTTTTAGTCATTTTATACATTCGTCTTCACATACTGATATCTGATATACTGGATCAGATAGTTGAGATAATCAAATGTTTCATTTGTATTTTCTTCGTCTGCACTAGGTAGCATGGAAAATAAACAAAATAATGATAGGCGCCCAATAAATGAGTGGAGATTCAAAAATTCAAAAATCAAAAGCAATATCCAGCCTGACCATCTATCCTTCCTCGAAAACTCCTTCACAAAACCATACGTTCAAGACAAAACCCAAAACCTCTGCCATCACTCCAGTCTTTCCTATTAAACCAAGTCCCTCTTCTTGAGAAGGATCTTGGTGTGCATGTTGGGCATAATCTGCTCCCCAAGAGTGAGGTTCCTCGGTCTTTTGTTGTTGTTGTCGTCCTCAAATTTGAACTCGTAGTCTGCAATCAAGCGACCCAAGACTGCCTTGTTTGTGTTCGCAGCGAAGAAACGGCCAGGGCAGGCTTGTCTACCGTAGCCGAAATGCATGTTTGACGGGCTGATGCTAACAAGGCTTGTGCTTCTTGCTTCGGGATCTTCGCACCAACGGAATCCTCTGAAGGAAAGAGCATCCTCAATAATAGAGTCATCCATACCCATAGGCTTTGAAGGGAAGCAGATATGCGTGCCTTTCTCGAGAACCAGGCCATCAGAAAGAACCATCTTCTCCATAACCATGCGGTGAGTAGACACTGACAGGGGCAAATTGTTAGCATAACGAGCATAATATTGCACATCAAAAAGGATGCACTCACGTTCTCCAGTGGGGTTGAAACGCTGTGATTCTCTCATAAAGCTGTCCAGGCGACGCTGAGAGGCGAAGGAAGCCTGAGTCACCTTGTCCCATCCGTCTGTCAGAGTCTCGCGGATCTCCTCCCTAAGAGGCTCAATGTACTCGGGTCGAATCACAAGATCGTAGATAGCATGGGTCATCAGCATAGAGCTCGTGTGGACAACCGCCAAAGCCATCACAATAAGCAACATCTGAGAGATATTGGCGGGGTCCTTATCGAAGTCATCCTCTGCAAGGTCCATCATCCACTGAAGAAAATCGTCCGGCTTCTGATATGCAGGATCCTTCATCTCTGCCTCGCGACGTGCCAGGATCATCGGGATGAAAAGCTCTTTCTGAACGAAGCGCAGCTGAGTGCGGAGTTTCTTGACGCTGGGAAGCACCTTGGCAACCAACGGACGCATGAAGTAGGGGAATGGACGGAGCAAAATAACAGTGACCCCGAGATTGACCGTGTAGCTGGTGACCGTTTCCAACCACTGTGGGTTACGGCAGATGTTCTCTCCAACAATGACGCGAGAAGTAGCCCGTGTGACAAGGCCCAGGATCATGTCGTAGAGGTTGACCGGGACCCAGCGATCTATAGCGGTGGTCAGTCTGGCGCTCACCTAGCTTATGAGGATTGAGTTGGACATACCATCACAGTCAGGCACTTCAACCTGGAATGCGAACTGAAGTTCATCGAGGAGACGAGGAAGAACTCGGCCTTGAAGTTGGCTTTCGTCAGCCTAGACACTCAAGCAGATGTACACAAAGCATGCACTTACCGATAGCTGGAGTCAGACCCTTGTGAACCGTCTTCACAGGCAAATGGCTATCAATAAGAACATTGGTGTATTTGCCAAGGATGTTCTATTGGGAAGCGTCAGTTCATTCTTACCTCATAAAGTCAGGAAGCCGGCAACATACCTCGAATTGCGCATCGACGCCGCTGAGTTTGGAAGGAGGCAAGTGACGAATCTCCGGAAGGTACTTTGGAGGCAAAACAAGCAAGTCGCCATCTGCCTTGAGGACACGGTAGGGCTGATCTCTGTACTGCAGCGTCGGTCAGCTTGAGGATGACAGATGTGAGCGGAAAGACAGGTAAGTACCTTCTCATAACCGTACTTGATCAGGTAAGGCGCCACGAAAATGAACATGAGCCGGTTAATGAAGTCTGGAAGGAAGCGACTGAATCTGACAGTGGGTATTTCGGCTGAGGCCTCGCCTGGTGGGTAATGGTAGAAATAGAGAGACGAGGAGAGTAGTAGGGCAAATGGCCAACAAGGCAGTTCGAGCACCTGGTCAGCCATGACTGACAACTTGGCAACTTGACAATCTGAGGATGCGGAGCTGTACTAATGATGTTCCTTTCAGAGATTGGTCGATATTGTGAAACGCTATGGGAGTATATGAGCACAGCAGTGGTGTAGGGTGAGGGAGGTAAGAAGAGAGAAGCTCGCGAGATGCATCGATAGCGAAGAGTATTTCTATCCGTGTAGCAAGCAAGACAGAGCGAATGAGCAAACGGTCGACCACGGAGAGACCCACTAATGAAAGGAATTAGAATGCTGGAAATCTCCGGAGCAGTGAATGTTGTGCTAGAATGTGCAGTTACCAGACGGCATATTTCGTTATGTGAAGTCCTTAACGGGGATATCCGCCCAACAGCGAGCATAATGAGAGCCGGCTCATTACCTTCCGCTATGGTGCTATTGAATGAGAACGTTGTGGAAGACAAATGTCCAAGGACGAGCTTGCTAGATCATCAATAGTCTATTTGAACGGATATGCTATTAGCACATGCTATCCAAGGAACAACAGGCTATACAAAAGACTCCAGGACTTTTACTTGCTCCCTTCTCCAGGTATATCAAAACAATCGAACGCCAGACGCAGATGCAAGAAGAGAAGATGAGGAATGCGAGAGGAAGGGCAAATGAGGTGTATATAGGTACAAGACGAAGTGAGTGAGATCATTCGAGGCCAACCCATTCCCCCTCCCTATCATCCCCATCTACATCAGACATGCGCGCATCTTCGCCGTCCATGATTATAGCATCATAATCTTGAATGGCTTTCGGAGCGCCATTCATTTTGTCTGCAAGTACCGGTTTCGAGAGGAGATAATTGAGATCGTACACATTCTTCTCCGTCAACTTCCTCAAATTCTCCCGAATGTCATCAACAGCCCGCTGTATGGCACGCAGTTCTGTTGCGAGCGTGCCTGAGTTATCCTTGAAGTAGCGACCATGGATGCTAAGGAGAGATTCAATCCACCGCAAGTTGAACTCCAGGTGAGGCGTTTCTTCAGCAGACTGGGCTACGAATCGCAGGAAGCGAGAGAGGTAGACAGTAGGCAGTGCGCGTACCACAAGAGAAATCTCTGAGGGTGGAATAGCCTCATAGACAGCGCGAATCAGTTTCGACTCGTTAAGACGGAAAGCCATGACTAGCGCTTTCAAGAACGTATTGTCATCGTCTGCTGTGTTCATAGAGTGCGCCTTCTTAGCAGCGTCAAGGGTGGCAAGGATAGTGGTGGGAGTGATATCGAGATCAAGGTCAAACGGATCGAAGACAAATTCGGTGTCGAGACTGTACACTAGAAGACCTTCCGTCGAAGCTGCACAAAATGCGCGCCCGGTTGGAGAGAAGTCGACTGCAGTGACACGCACTTCGGGTCGAGTCTTACGCGTCCCAGCATCGCCGCGCTTCGCGCCGGGAAGGCTGCGGTCAATGCGATCTTCCAGATCTGAAGCTTCGCCTGTCTCGTCAATGAGACCTCGAGGGCCAGCCTCTGTCAAATCACGACTGTTCAAGAATTCCTGGGTGCCGTCTAGAGAAGTGTTGACACTGACTGTGTATTTCTTCAGCAGTGCGCCCGATCTCACATCGTACAGGCAAATGTGCTTGCTGTTGCCTCCAGCCAGGATACAAGAGCCGTCAGCGCTGTATGTGATGCAATTGAAATGTTTGGTTGCCGCTGAGTTCGCGGCCGTTACACGATCGCCCATCTTGCGGCCGCCGGACACATCGCGACGACCATCAATGCCTCCTTCCTGGACTGCGTTGTCCACAGACCAAAAGGTCAACTGACCGTCAAGAGTAGATGCGGCAACCTGCTTCCCGTCAGGCCGGAATGCCACATGCAGAATATCTGACATGAGCTGCAAAGGTTCGCTAGTCTGCGTCCTTCCGAAAATGCTCCATACTCGGACAGTACGGTCCCAGCTACCGCTAACTAGATGGTTGCCGTCCGCCGCGAACGCGAGCGACGATACGGGCCCTTCGTGACCGGACAACTGGTCAAGAAGTTGTCCTGTCTGTACTGACCACACATGGATATCGAAAGAATCCGGTGACCCGGCGCAAATGACCTCACCACTTGGGTCGACGGCGAGAGAGGTGAAAGACGTCCGGGATGGTGCAGTGAAGGTTCGGAAGTTGCGATAACGAATGAGATCCCATGCCCTCACTGAGCCATCCAGAGATGCGGTAAATAAAACACTTCCTTTCTTGGCAAACTGGCACGCGGTGACTCCGCTCGAATGCTCGGTGAATGTGACAATGCAAAAGCCGGACTTGACATCCCAGACCTTTACTTTTCCATCATCCGCGGCAGTAACAATCTTTTGCCCGTCTGGGGAGTAGGCAAGAGCGTTCATCGAGTCCAAGTGACCCTGCTGCTTCAAGATATAGGACTCCGATTGCCATTCCCACACGAGCAATTGACCATGCTTCGACGAGCCAAAGGCCAACCACTCACCGGACTTGTTGACTGTCACGAAATCGATGTTGCTTTGAGAAACACTAAAACTAATCAGTCTCACAGTTCACTATCAGGTAACAAGAGTCATACCTCAGTTGATGGATCGGGTTGAAGTCCGGCAGATCGTACAGGCCGAAAAGGCCGTTGGAGAAACCTACAACCAAGAGATTCGAGGGGGCGTGAAAAGTAGCACAGTTGACCTTGGCATCGTTCTGCATGAAGTAGTCCTTTTTGACAATCCGCCAACGAGCTTCGGCAATATCTTCCATCGTATCCGGATCTTTCTTAGTCACGTACTCCCACCTGAAAAGAGCTCCATCTGAACTGATCGTGTAGATCTTGGATAGTGTCAGCAAGGCAATCTTGTCAATATTTCGATTCGACTTACGGATTCTTGATCTGCTGTGAAATAGGCTGCCTTCACGCCTTGACGATGGCCGGCTAGGGTGGTGGGTTCGAAGCCTTCTTCCGGATCTAAACTCCATATCCGTGCTGTGAGGTCTTTGGATGCGGTAAGGAGGAAGCGTGAGTCTCTGGACCACTCAATATTCTGAATGACATCAATATGGGCGGCGAGGTCCCGGTGCAGAACAAAGGGTGCGAATTCGATCTCTCCGTTATTATCGGTACCCGGGGTCGATGGTGTGTGCCAGATCTGCAACCGTCTTCCCACTCCGACAGCGAAATGACGACCCGTTGACGAGAATTTGAGCGCAGTGACTCGACCTTTAAAGGAGAAGTGGTGGATTACAATCCTGCGAACGAAATTCGTCAAGATAGCACGACCATTCTCGTCAACGGAGAGCAGAAGGTTGCCGCGGGGCGAAAGATCTAAACGATCGATATTGGTGCGATGAGAGAATGGAAGTGTGTATGATGTGTTCCTTCAGCAGGGCGATTCAGTCAGCTCAAAAGATCCGACGAGTATTCCATAGCATGTAAGAGACCGAACATACTGGACAAGGTCGAAAACTGTGACCCTATTGCCTACTGGGGAAAGCAAGCAGTTTCCATCGGGCGTGAAGAGAAGATTTCCTTTGCGATATACCGTCCCCAGAAGGTTGGAGAACTGCGATTGAGTCAGAATTGCAGTCGCAAGGAGCGAAAGAAAGAACTCACCTTGAAATCTGTCTTCATTGTCTCTGATAAGCGTGCGTAGCTTCTCAGTCTTCGCCTGGAGTCGATCTTCAAAAAAATCGTCTTCCTAAACGGGCGATAAGAGAGCTGATCATCTGTTAATCCGAGGCCGAAGACGCTTGCTCGAATTAGTACTAGCGCTATCTGGGGCCCAAAGGTCACGTTTGCTTGTTTGCTGGTGTTTGCTTCTCCACCGGGTCTGTGATTCAGGGGCAGCAACAGCCGATTCCAATCCATACCAGACCGATCCATACCAGGGAGAACGTTCTACTACTACTGCTGAGACAGGAGAGAGAGACAGTCCCTTTTCGACGGCATTTTCCTAATTCTTTAGGTCGTCTTAATCAATTGACTTCTGATTCGCAACAGTTGTTGTCAATTTCAATCAATCAGTTGTCTTATTGCCCGATTTCACCTCCATCTACCTTCCCCCTTTATCATCATGGCCACGACTTCGGAAACTGCTTCCCCTATTGGCATTGCCAACGTAAGTGCTAGATCAATACTTTGGGGATGAATTTGAATGGAAGAAGGGATTTTAACTAGTTCTTTATGACAACAGCTCCCTAATCAGCGGTGTGTACCAACTGTCACGCAGCTTCGATCAGCCGAAGAATGAAGCGTGGTCAAGTCTAACTGAAGCTATACAGACACAAGATTGTCGCTAAGCGGGGTGCGGCTTTCACTATCATGGTCTGTCTCGAGCCAGTGAGCCAAGATGGAGCTGTATGCTGATGCCGGAGTATAGGTTGCTGGAGAATCGGGATTGGGAAAGACCACGTTTATCAACACCCTGTTTTCGACCACTATCAAGAACTATGCCGATCACAAGCGTCGCCATCAGAAGCAGATCGACCGGACGGTTGAGATTGAGATTACCAAGGCAGAGCTAGAGGAGAAGTTCTTCAAAGGTTAATTTCAATTCCCTCATCTTCGCGAATGATTACTAATGTAACAATGCGGCCATGTACAGTCCGTCTGACCGTCATTGATACCCCCGGCTTCGGCGACTATGTGAACAACCGTGACTCCTGGCAACCAATTATCGAGTTCCTTGATGACCAGCACGAATCGTACATGCTTCAGGAGCAGCAACCCCGCCGCACAGACAAGATCGACATGCGTGTTCACGCCTGCTTGTACTTCATCAGACCCACGGGCCACACTTTGAAGCCTCTTGATATCGAGGTCATGAAGCGGTTGAGCTCTCGAGTCAACCTTATTCCCGTTATTGCCAAGGCCGACACTCTTAGCCCTACTGATCTTGCCCGTTTCAAGCAGAGAGTGAGACTTCCGGATGAATGGCCTCCCTTACTGGTAGATACTGACTAGTCCAATCTATTTTAGGTCAAAGCTGTTGTCGAAGCTCAAGGCATCAAGATCTACACCCCTCCTATCGAAGAGGACGACGAGCACGCTGCCGCCCACGCTCGCAGTCTGATGGCTGCTATGCCCTTCGCTGTGATTGGATCCGAGAAAGATGTGAAGACCAACGACAACCGGGTAGTAAAGGGTCGCCAATATGCCTGGGGTGTTGCTGAAGTCGAGAACGAGGACCATTGTGACTTCAAGAAGCTGCGCTCTATCCTGATACGCACTCACATGCTTGATCTCATCCACACCACCGAGGAGCAGCACTACGAAGCCTACCGCGCACAGCAAATGGAAACGAGAAAGTTCGGCGAGGCCAGACCGAGAAAGCTGGACAACCCCAAGTTCAAGGAAGAGGAGGAGGCTCTGCGGAAGCGTTTCACCGAGCAGGTCAAGGTCGAAGAACAGCGATTCCGCCAGTGGGAGCAGAAGCTCATTTCCGAGAGAGACCGCCTCAACAAGGACCTGGAGGCCACTCACGCTGCGTATGTGCACCTCTTCTTGCAATTCTTGTTCTCTAAGGAAGTATGGAGACAGTACTGACTGAATACAGAATCAAAGCGCTAGAGCAAGAAATCGAGACGCTGCAGGGCTCTACCACCCGGAGTCACGGACGCCGTTAAATTGCTCTCGGGCACCTTCTGTACGGCGACGAATTTTGAGCGGGCGGTGGAAAAAGGAAAACTGCTTCGATTTGATTAATATTGTCTATTCTTGATTACCCCTCAAGTTTCTTTTCGGCCTATTTTTTCGCAGCATTCGGGGGACAACATATTTGATCTAGGCCGTTTACTGGTGCATCTATTATGCTGTATCATTTCTTTAGCCGCTGGTAGCTAGCGATGATCTCGTTACATCCTTGATAATAACCATTTGTATTCAGTAGCGTGTCAATACAGAATTAATCTTTGTCCATGGTTTGGTTATACCTCAGAGCTACTATATAGGAAGCTTTATCTGGTGGGGCTTTCTTCAATCATGAGCGGGTCGGTTCGAGGTGACATGGCTCTCTTCGGCGGAAATAACAAAGCCTCTCCGCAATTCTTACTTCCAAGGCGAGAACCTTCGTCACCTAGAATCTACCTCTTCGTTGTCCTTCATCCCTATCTTACGCCGAAAAATTCGAGCCATCAATGCCGGCAACGAAACAATTTCCCACGAAGCTTGTCCATACTCTCAAAACGCACAATGGTGAGCTTCTGCTCCATCCCCTAGCCATACTTTTCAACTAATCAGTTTCAGGACCGGTAAATGCGGTGACTTTCTCTAGCTATCCAGGCACATATGTCCTCACCGGTTCCTCTGATCGCGCCATTCACCTCTCGCGTGCCATCCCGAACAACAGCTCTACTACTGGTCATGAGACGACTTCCCCGATCCAAAAATATGAGGCGCACGGGTACTCAGTCCTGGACGTGGCTGTCGCAGCAGACAATGCGCGATTTACAAGCGTCGGCGGAGACCGCCAGGTATTTTTGTGGGACGTCGAACAAGGGATAACTACACGGCGATGGGCCGGACATAACGCCAGGGTCGAGGCCGTACAGTTCGCTGGCGAGGGCGATTCCGTGGTGGCATCTGGTAAGAGCCCGTCTGCGGTCTTTCCTGTCTATTCGGTAGTAGAAGCATCCGTGATTCTGACTTTTCTCTCAGGCAGCGCAGACACAACCATTAATCTGTGGGACACCCGGTCCAAATCGCACAAGCCTATCCAGACCCTCACCGAGGCCGGCGATACCGTCTCCTCGCTACACGTACACATGCCGACGTATTCCATCGCAAGTGGAAGCTACGATGGCCGCGCTCGTGTCTACGATGTCCGCATGGGCCGGACAACTGTTGACGTCCTTGCTCACCCCGTGACGAGTATCCGGTGCTCTGCGGACGGCAATGCCCTGCTGGTTTCTACACTCGACAGCCGGATCCGGATGCTGGACCGGGCTGACGGCAAGCTGCTCAAGGCTTTTGGGGGCGAGGAGGGTCTCGAGCAAAGCACTACTGGTGCCAGGGTAACGTATCGCAATAGCGAACTTAGGATTCGGTCTGTTTTTGCCAAGGGAGACGCTGTCGTTCTCAGTGGCAGTGAGTCGGAGAAAGGCGATCTGTCGCCGCAGGCTCATGTTTTTGCTTGGGATGTGCTCAGTGGAGAGGTTATTGCGACTGTCCCGGCGGGGAACGGAGTGAAGGTTGTTAGCTGCGTAGCGTGGAATGAGAAAGGAGGCTGCTGGGCTGGGGGTTGCTCCGATGGTATGTCCAGACATGTCAACTTTTGTGCTTGTATGTATAGTCTGCTAATAATGGGTTCTTTGCAGGCACCGTCAAAATCTACGGCTGAACGAGAAGAGGATCCAGATCGTTGCGGCCAGCCAGGGAGCTCCTTGTAACATCGCCAGCAGCTTGGCCAGTTCGTCCTTTCAACGAGGATAACACGGGGTTTACCTTCCCTTTCTTCCGTGTATCCTGAACGGAAAGAGTCTCTAATGGCCTGCAATCCGGATGCACCCAGATCCACCGAAGCCATCCTCCAAGGGCACCAGTTCCAGACGCCGGCCGCACACCAAACAAATCAACAAGGCGAGCTGCAAGGTCAACCGGCAGTCCATCCCCGCGCACAGAAACGCCCAGAACTTCATGCAATACAAACCCCTTTCGGACCATGCAGCCAAACACCGTAGTCTGCGCAACCTCTGTCCCGCGCGCAATCAGCCCTCAGCTCAACGTCCACATTGCAAACAGAGCTACATGGACCTGTCGACCTGGCCAGCTGCTATTGGACCACTGACCCGCGGGCGCATATCGCTGCATGGTGCATAGTGCATGCTGCATATCGGCATCGGCATGCTTCTCGTCAGCCGTCGCAAGGGGAATGTCTCTTCGGATCACGGCTATTGATCCACGAGTGTGGTCCCGTAGGTCTCGACCATGCGCCGTGCTGCATACATGACAAAATGAGCCAATAACGAGGCTGCATGGTGACGTGTCAGTTCCCGACACCGGTCGAGTTTCAAGTTGCGGACTTTCTGCTTGTCTACCCGGTAGATAGACGAGATAGCTACTGCGGGATTCCAAACTGGATTTGGTCCGAGAGATGCTGAGACGTCACAGATACTGCTGCACCTCGTGGCGATTGTTTGCTGAAGCCATCTGGCGCCATATCATAGGTTTCGAGTTGAAGTGGATCTTACGATATCTGACATCCCGCTCGCCTACTGGACGGTATTTGTTCCATTTCACTTTGCATTATGCATTAGTAGGGCCTGTACCTTAGTCGGACAGGGAAAGAAAGAAAATAGCCTTCGTCCATCTGCACATCCTTTATACAATGTCATCATTTCCACCGGGGGTATTTTCTGAGTAGAGTTTTTTTGCAGGTGAGTTTGATATTATACAGTAACGATGCATTCTCGTGCCCAAACAAGTTCCAACCAAGATGCACTGTGACCCCATCCGACAGGGGTAACATGATTTTAACGAACTTTGATAAACGCCAGAAACCTTTTTGAGCCAACAGTTCCGAAACGCCGATTCGCAGTTTCGCAGTTGATCAGACCAAGAGTCAACGCGTTGAGGATATCTTCTTTTTTGAGTCATGCAGCTGTCGTAAGTTTTTTTAGGTTTCGCCGAGCAGTTATCTTCTTCGAGGACCGTAGACCACAAGAATGGCTGGAGACGGCAACATGAATGTGACTAAAGCAAGGGTCACACTTCGAGCACACCAGCCGGCAGGTCCGGTTCATGGCTTTCGGCCTCGAGCGCATCCATAGCTCGATGCAGTTCGTGTTCACCGACAAGGATTGTCCCTGCACGTGCAGTGCTAAGGAAGCTGATCTCGACGGCCTCCAGAGACGTGTCAAGGTCTGGCTGCAGATGATGGGTCGAGAGTGTCAACGGATCGCCATTGGGTGTTCGGTGCGCAGGATTCTGTGCGGGGGGCCTGACTGGTCCCCCAGAGTCCACACTGGACGAGAAGTAGCGATTAAGAGAGCTTTCAAAGGAGGAGGCACCGTTAAAAGAGTGCGACAAAGCAATGGTCGATGCTTCGGTGCTTTCATCCCAGGCGGCATGTGTAGCATCAGCCAGTCGACTGGCAACACCGCAAACAATACCCGTGGCCTCGAGAGGGAGTTTGCGTAGGTCCAACGTGATAGGGACGAGGATGTCTTCCTTGGACCCCAGAAGCAGGCTTGTCTCATCAGTAGACTCGGCAGACGAGGTACCATCATTCAAGAATCGAGGCAGGAGCCGCTGTTCCAACAAGAGGGAGGCTGCAGGGTCGGCAGCCGTCAGAGTGAGTGAGAGGAAGCGTGGTCTGTCCACAACCAGTGCAGTCGTCAGTGCCGTACGGAGGATTGATATTGAGCTAGCATCACTGCTGTATGGGTGATGGGCCGCACACTGCACCAAGCGAAGAGATCGATCGACGGACGGCACAATGTGGTTCTTCCGCAGGGAGGCAAAGGTTCGTCCCTGCAGTTCGTCGAGTGACGAGGGAGGAGGAGTTGCCGGCGGAGAACCAAGACTACTCGCGGAACGAGATGAAACCGGACTGCTGTAGCTGCTGTACTGACTTTGATTATGATTTATGAAAGCCTCGGTGGAGATTTCGAACTGAAACCCTCGCTTCTCCAACGCTTCAATGACCTGAGCTTTACTGCGCAGAGGCACAATGATGTAGTCGGAAAAGTAAGTGGAGATAAAGAAGATAGAACTGCGAGAGTAAGAGTCAGCAATCGTCATATAAACGGAACAGGGTTCGGGGAAGTTCATACATTCCTGCCATCGCTAGAGGACTCGTCAACTCAAGCACGCGTTGGCCAGCTTCCAGACCCTCGCCGTACACCTGCATGGCTATGAAATCGTCCTGACTGATGGACAGGCGGCTCTGGGTAGAGGCATGATTTTGAACGAAGTTATCGATCATGGGGGCGAAGTACTTGTTGGCAAGCTGCCTGGGGCACATGATGGAGCACTCTACCGGGGTGATAGAGAAATTCAAGAAGGCTGGCTGCGCATGCTTGAGGCCATCTCTGGAGCCGTTTTTTAAGCCCTCCGCATGATTCTGGTCCACGGGGGGTACCTCGTGGAAGAGGACCTGTAGAATCGGAGTCAAGAAATACGGGTAGAGATCCAATGGTATATGCACCAGAGCCAGTCGGTCGTCCTGTGCCTCGATGGTTGTGGTTAGTAAAACAAGCCTTGCACAACAATAATCTATAGGACTCATGCTTGACGGGAGATGGATAGCATGATTGATGGATAGCAAGATGGAGGCTTACCATAAATTGGACGTGAGCCGAGATGAGAGACAGTGAATGATCCATCATTGCTCTCGATTGGATAATAAATGATATCAAGAGGCTGTTTCGTGGGATCCAATGCTCGGTCTTCCACAAGCTAGATCCAAAGGAAAAGTGAGGTACTCTTAATGTGAGACCTCGGGTGATTTGAAAGTATAAGTAGCGGAATCGGACTCGCAGGTACAGTCAGAAGAAGATCCACAAAGAGAAGACAGTAGGTATGGAAAGGCCAGTTTGAAGATGTACAGATGAGGCTGTCTCAGTGGACAGTACAGGTGATGTTAGGGCAATAGGCAACAATGTCACTGGGACGCGAATGATGATGAAAGAAACGGGTATAAATATAGATCCGAGTAAAATCAGATTCCATGGAACAAAGCGCGACAGACATCAATGGAGTAGTCGTTTCTTTTTCCTCCTGTATGTTCTTGGTCGCCCGAAGCCCTGCGTCTTCATTGTTCTGGTCTGCGGAGTGGAGTTACGCCATTGTTCGGAGAAATGATAGGATCGAAAAGAGCCAGCACGCAAGAATGCCGCAATGTTGACTATGTTATTTCAAATGTAGAGGGGCAAAGGGTGTAGGATCGAATGCGCAATTAGATGATATATAGGTTGTAAAGAAGAGAGGAGGAAGGACGGAATGGATGGATGGTTGTATCTCCAGTTTGTGGTGACTCAAAGTGGCCTTCCTTTTCGGGCGAGGGTAAAGTGCATAAAGTTGTTGTTCTTTTCGCTTCAACACGAATTGATTCTTGCCACGCTCAGTCAACGTTCGCACTGGACGGAGTACAGAATGTTGAATCTGAATTTCTGGTAATCGATTCGAAGAATATGGGGAAGCAAAGGAGGTAGTTGAGAGGAAAAAGCAAAGAAAGTCTTATTCTTTTCTCCTGGGAAGCTTCCACACCGTCGAGTAGATATACCGGGAATGGGATAATGAATGAATGAATATAATTGTCTTTGAAAGTAAAGCGTTAGACTAGTGATTCTTTATCCTCAATTATAACCTTTTTAGCAAATCCCCTCTGCAAAGTGATTCTCAGCAGTGACTGGTCCAAAGTGGCTCTACGTAGTTCTGTAGGTCAAAAGGTAGCCTTTATCTCCAGCTTTTGTGGCTCCACCCTGGCTGCTTATCAGAGCCATTACTGTAATATCAGTTAAATTATTATTATTACTCCCAGCCATGACCATGACCATGACCACCATGCGTCCATCGCCACCCCGCGCTAGGCGCTGCTTCCGTAGTTTTACAGTGGGGGTTATTCTAGTCTCCAGGAATAATAATAAATCCTGGATGATAATAACTAAGTCAGAATAAAATGATGCGTTATGACCCCCTCCCCAGCGCACGGTTCGAGGGAGCAGCTGACGGTGAATGGCTGGTCTTCCTGTTCATCCGCACTCCCCGCATTTTTTCTCTTTCCTCTCTGCTCGATTTGCAGGGTTTTGTAACTTTTGTGAGGTGGCTAGTCAGGCACCACACTTGCTTGCTATGAATCCATTTGCTGTTTCTCTCGCATACATACACATCCATCAATCAATCCTGCATGCGGTGTATTGTGGCAAGCCAATGTATGAGGCCTGGAGGAAGATGGGCTAACTGCTTGTCCTCCCCACCATTTTCCAAAAATCTTCTGGGAGGTACTGTGATGGACGACAAGCGACTCGCGGACTCTATCTGTTGGGAAAAAGCTCCGATAGCTTGGGAGATACGAAGTAGTTCTATTTAGCGAGACCATCACCAAAAAGGTCACCGTGACACAGTCATTTGAACAAGGTGGAGTCAGTGCTCTAGCAGTCAAACTTATTCCTCCTGAGTCCTATCTACTAGACTAACTACTCCGTACTACGTCTACTAATGGCGCCACCTTAATGCTTTAGACTGCATGAAAAATACTGTAGGCCGGCAACCAGGATGCATCCTGAACTGCCTACCTCCTCACTCAAGCTCACAGAAGTGACACAAACCGCTAAAACTCAATGCGCGATGCAGATGCAGCTGGACTGTCATATTTCCCAATCCAACCCAATCCCCGCACCTTTTGCGCTTGAAGCGCTTCAATCAGAATGTTTTTTTTTCCCTTGTTCAATCCGATCGTTGTTTCAACACTCCCTACGATTTGAGCTAACTAGCTAACTGCAAGGTTCGCACGGGCTTGCCGAGTCGGATGATCATTCCTCCCTAACCCTACGAACTGGTATCTTCCTGTCACTCGCATCAATGATACTTTGGTCTGGTCGGCGACTGGCCAATCATCCGACCCTTATGGGCGATCATCCGGTCCATCCCTGTTGTTGCTAGGAGTGCCAGGTGGGTGGTTCTGAGTCGTCTGCAAGAATTACAACCAACTGTCTGTCTAGCTATCCATCTCTGTCTTGCGACTCCAGATAGCATCCCCCCTTTGCGATTATCCTCCATTACCCCATTACTCCTCCAACGTGGCGCCATCGATGGCGAGTTTCAGCTCCCTTGGAGATGATGTAGCCGTGCAGATAGGGAAACGCGGCACCGTCACG